GTTGGCCGTTTTGACAGTTCCCGTAGTATGCAGAGTGTGAGAGGATTTCAGTGTTGTTGCAAAAATGAAGACTAAATTTAGATCTAAGACTAAAGACACATTAGACACATTAGAAAAACTTTTATTAGCGAAAGCAGGCCTACGTGGCAATTGCTATGAACAAAATCATGAAGTTTCTTTCTTAACGAAATCAAAATCTGCCACTGTTCATAACATTTGTATGAAAACTGATTAAAGTTCTTTTTTTTTTTTTTTTTTTTTTTTTTTTGTGTGTGTGTGTGTGTGTTTTGTTTTCTTAAATGATGTAAGTAATAAAAATGTTTTTTTTTTTTTTTTTTTGTGTGTGTGTAAAGTATTTTTGTGTTGCTTGCATTTAAGAATTAGTAACTATTTAAAGTTAATTCATTATTAAAAACTATATTTTTATCATTTAAAATGTCTTTCTAACATTGTGAAAAATCTTCTGATTTCTTAAAAAAATCTCCTGATTTTTGAGTGTCATAGGTTGGCAAGGATGCTTTACCTTTTAATATTATTGTAAAGATGGTTGCAGCACTTCTTCTTCTGCTCTTGATTTTACTTTACTCCTATTCAAAATTTTGACAATCAGGAAAGGGGAATTAAAAGTCCATAAATAGAGTTTCTATTTGAAAAAAATGGAGTATTAAAAAAATATGAAATAGTTGTTAGTTTACTTGAAACATTTCTAACTATTCATAAAGTGTTTTATTACTTTAGAAACAATATCTAGCATCACTTCTTGCACGATTCTGAATTATAGCAGAAGGCTCCTATTAATATGAAATTTGGTCATGCCTGATCTATAGCTTACTCTTTCTAATATTGAAGCCATTACTTTATAACATGCTGCCAGGGCATTTTATTACCCATGTACTGCATACGCTGTTGCTATTTCATTATCTTTATTTTTTTAATCTATTCCTTTCATTACCCATACTACACATTTATTTTTTTTAATCCATGTGACCTGACAAATTAAAAGTTCCAAGTTGTCATTTAGTGTGACATAAGCTTTTATCTTTCAAGGTAAAAGCATGCATTGTTTAACTCTCTGAGCAGTGCACATATTTCTGGATGTGTCATGAAAACCTGTACTTTAACAGCCTTTATTAGCTAAATCTGATTACAGTCAAAAGTCGTTAATCCGGACTCGTCGGGACTTCTGCGATTCCGGATTATTGATTTTTCCGGATTATAGATCATCAGTTTAAATCTCGTAAGATAGCATGCAGAGATTCTAAAATTAAAAATATGAAACCGTAATTTATGAAATAAAGAACATTATGATCTAAAGCAGTGCTCTGCAACCTTTTCTCACCTGCGACACACAAAAAATCTTTCTGGAATTTCGTGGCACACCAAAGAGTTCGAGTTATCAAGGAAGTGCCGAAAAAATTCAAATGCTGAGACACTTACAATCACACACACAACCACACAACAGTGAAATATATAAAAACATTTAAAATAGACATTATTAAGGAAAAAAAATTGTCATTGTGTATTAAATAAATGATAAAAAATTGCAAAATGTCAAATACATGTATTTGATGGCGGCACACCTATATCCTACTCATGGCACACCGGTTGCGGAGCACTGATCTAAAGAGTATCAAAATTTACCAAAAAAGCTTAATATTTATTTGTTTACTTTATTAAACATTTCTTTCAATGTAAGTTGTTTAAGTTGCTTCGTTTTCTGTGATAATACTTTTCTTTAATTCTATAAACAGATGTAATTTCTTGTTCGTTACAAAGTTCCGCTTTCAAGTCCGTAATTGCTGTGCTGAGATACCGACTAACTTGTCAATCGAATTTTTTCATTTTCACTAACTCTTGTCACCTTCTTCATTCTCTATCCATTTTTGCAGCAATTCCACTTTCTGTTTGATGGACATCGAAACATACTTTCGTTTTGTAGATCCTTTGGGAGCTCCAGCATCGGAAATTCTATTTGACATAATCGAAAGTTCAAGTTTACTTTTATAAAATTGCTCTTACAGTCTGCAAAAAATAATAATCCAATTTGAAGACTAAGGAACAACGCAATCATCAACCTTAACTGAAATAGATAATTAGATAATTTTAGCTTATACCATCAGTTATACATTAAACGCATTCTGCGCCTGCGCACATGCATATGTGCAGTCGTAAAGGTCTTGCGCGCACGCGTAAACGCCTTTGCGCATGTGTCAAAGCGGCGCATGCGCAGAAAGTTTTTAGCTTTGAGGTCCGGATTATGGGTGTCCGAATTAACGACTTTTGACCGGATATACTTATTTTAGCCTTTATTTTCATAAACTTACATTTATTGACATATCTACTAGCGGTTCTCAACCTTTTGACTAACTCGTTCCACCTAAACAAAAGCTGAAAATCATTAGTAAAACCATTACACTTTACAGTGATTATTTTTTCAGTTTCTGAAGAGAAATATTAAAAAAATATTTTGTCATTTGCACAACCTATTGCCTATTTGTATTAAATATGCAGATGTAAAAAATATTAGATTAAAAATTGGTTACCATTTTAATTCTCAAAATTTGAGTTATAATACTTTTAATTCCAAAGTTTGCTGGGAAATCTTTGTCTGTTTAAAAGAGATCAACTTGTTTATGCTCGTCTTGTTTCACTTAGTTTTAACCGTAAATTAGGATACACTTTTAATTTTATTCTGTCGTTATTTTTCAAATATAACATGGAAGAAAATCCTTGTTCACACAAATAAGTTGTACAAAATGGCAATAAAAATTAAATAGCTTTATTTGAAATGCCTTTGAATTCTTTTTTTCCAGTTCAGCCCAAAGTCAATAAGAAATCTCCAGTTAGAGTTTGATGAAAGGAAATTTCTATCAATTATTCTTTTTCTTCATGAGATTTTTTAAATTAATAGTTAAAAATACTTTGCTTCTTTGTGTACCACCAGTGGTACGCGTACCACTGGTTGAGTGATTTATACTATTAAAGAAACTAAGAAGGGAAAATCTCTTAAGCTAATATACACCAAATGCAAAAAAAAAAACTTATGACCGGATGAAGCCGGTCATGGCACTCAGATGGTTAATTAACTGAATGGTTTAATAGTGATGTAGATAATTTTTTAATAATAGTATCTGCATCCGATATTTTTATGAATGTAGTATGCATCTTTCTTATACATAAGATGTGGCTGATGTGTTATATCATGTACCTTGTAACAAAATAGTGATTTATGCCGCATCTAACGATGAGTTTTAATGTTTTTTTTAATCTTTTCAAGATTCAGGTTAGCTACTATGTTAACTGTTTTGAACATTTATTTATATACAGGGTGGTTCAAAACTAGATGTCAAAAATGTAAAGGCAGGTAGAAGGGACCTAAATAAGCAGATTTCATATAGGAATGTATGTATGGTAATGCCACATGGAGCCAGAAGAGTGCTGATGAGTACGGCATATAAAAGCTGGATTTTGCATTTCCCGCACGGATTCCGAGCAACATGCATTGTTACAGCAATGCAGAGCTTACCGACATGCATTTCGTGTATGGGGCTGCACAAGGAAGTAGATTAACTGCTCAAATAATGTACAGAGAGGTCTTAACTGAACTTTCGGTTGATGTTCAGCCAGCTGTTTGGAGACAAATGTGGTTCCAGCACGATGGAGCCCCAGATCATTTCAGCCGGAACATCAGGAATCACCTGGACGCTATCTACGGCTAGCATTAAATAATAGGATGGGACGGATCAGTTCCCTGGCCATGTTCTTCTGCGCAGAAGATCTTTAGCTACTGGACATGTGCTTGACATGCCTGATGTCTTTTCTAATGTACGTCAATCCATGCGCTGCTGCTGATCTCGTATCGCTGTTGGTGGTCACTCTTTCAAGCACCTATTGTAAACTGTTAATATTTTTTTCCCTTTTGTCTTTACTTGACTTTTCAGTTTCCTGTGATTCGTACTGCTTTGCGTGCTAACACTTTAATGCAGCATTATTGCACACACATTTGTGTACAAAATCTGCTTAATCAGGTCTTCTCTACCTGCCTTTCAGCTTTTGACATATAGTTTTGAACCATCCTGTATATATGCTCTAATATAATGAACTACAGGAGTATTTTGAGAAAAATGTGCAATCGCAGTTTCTGTGATATTAGGTCTTCCAAGATATAAAAATTATTTTTGATGGTAGTTGTAGACTAATAAATATTATTATTATAGTTATAAAATAATGAAAATTATTGTTAATGATAGTTATGTTGTAGACCAATGAAATTATTTAAGCAGATTTTGCTTTACAAAATTAGTTTATCGTGTTTTCATGATGTTGCACTGGTGCTTAGCAGGGTAATTTTTTTAAATATACAGCCAAACCTCAATTAACTAAGAGTTTCTGACTCTTGAAGTATGAGACCAATGTACTTCCATGTAGTGGACACTTCCTAATAATGGACAGAAGTCATCTCGTGAGAATCTGCTAACATAGGGATTGGACTGAACTTAGGCTGTTTTTTGTCAAAGCTTTGATGTTTTAGTTATCAGATGTTTTTGTTTAAGGAATGCAGTTAATTTTTCAAATTTTGCCCAGGGCAATGATTAACAGAAATATGCTAAAAATGAGAAGTGTCAGATACAGGTTTTTTTTTTTTTTTTTATATTACTTCTGGCACTTACTGTTTTACTTCTGTAGAATTTCTAACTATATTTTTTGAAAAATTTAACCATTAAAGTGTATGTGTAATATTGTTAACAAATAAGCATGACTGTTAACAAGTGCACTTAAAACTTTTGAAACTGGTACTGCAAATTTTAATTGAGTACATCAGATTTCATTATTATATTCTTGATATTAGCATTTACTTTCTTTAAATATGGCATTCTGAGTGAAATTTTTTTATTTATTTTAATCTGCTAACTGTGCATTAATCACTTCTGTTGGTCATTTTAGTGAAACTTTTATTTTTCTTTAGCTGCTTGCTTATTCATATTTTTAATTTTTTTCAGAGGCTAATTGATAAAACAAAAGTAACCTGCTTGAAGTGGGTGCCTGGTTCCCAGAACCTCTTTCTAGTGTCTCATAGCAGTGGACAGATGTATGTGTATAAAGAAGATCTGCCCTGTGGCAATACACCTCCGCATTATCAACTTTTTAAGCAAGGAGAAGGTTTTGCCGTATATACATGTAAAACAAAAAGTACAAGAAACCCACTTTATAGGTGGGTGATAGGTTTTGGTGCTTTAAATGAATTTTCTTTTTCTCCTTGTTCTAAATATCTTGCAACAGTTAGTCAAGATGGCTTCTTAAGGATTTTTAATTATGACACTATGGACCTAGTAGGAATTGTAAGAAGCTTTTTTGGTGGTTTATTATGTGTGTGTTGGAGTCCAGATGGCAAATACGTTGTGACTGGAGGAGAGGATGACCTAGTAACAGTTTGGTCATTTCAAGAAAAGAGAGTAATTGCTCGAGGCCATGGCCATAAGTCATGGGTTAGTGTTGTTGCATTTGATGCATTTACTTATACTGATTCAGATAGGCTTGATTTAAGTGGAAGTGAGGAAGAAGTGAATCAGCAATTACCTTCTGATAGTGTAAGTGAATCTTCCAAAGGATTAGCTTCAGGAAGTAAAACTGCCTCAGGCAGTTTGCTTCTACCATCTGTATGTGCAAGAAATTCCCTTTCTGGTAGTAAGTCCTTAAATATAACCTCTTACAGGTTCGGCTCTGTTGGACAAGATACACAGTTGTGCCTGTGGGACCTGACAGAGGACGTTTTAAAGCAGCCAATAGGGAGGACAAGAACTAGTATGTTGCTCAATAGTCCAAGTACTCACCTTCCATCTTTAAGTAAATGCAATAGTGTTGGTAATGCACAAGCTAACTGTTATACAAAAGAAACAGCATTGATGGATGGAAATCTTGGATTAGCGAGTCTCAGTATAGGAAGCAAAAGTGCTACTCTAGAAAAAGACAAAAAGCCTGAAAAAGAACATAAGCGAAATTTTAGCCTTGCTTCAAGGAATGCCGATAAAAATAGCCTTAATAAATCCAACCAAAATAAAGTTTTGGATGATCCTGTGAAACTAATAGGAACACCTCTCTGTCCTCGGAGAGATGAAGTTTCAATGCTTGAACCTCTTATATGCAAGAAATTAGCACATGAAAGGTTAACTGCATTAGTTTTTAGAGAGGAGTGCTTTGTAATTGCCTGCCAAGAAGGTTTTGTCTGTACATGGGCAAGGCCTGGTAAAGGTGTAAGTATAATTTTTTATATATGGAGTTCAAATTATTTAAAATATGTATAATCTTTGAAAGTATGGTATTTTTTAAAATTTAGATTTGAAAGCATGTATCTTAAAAAATTACTAAGTTTGTCATGTCACTAATTTAAACTATGGCTATAAATTAATGTAGTCATTTAATGGGTATAAATTAGGTAATTATAATGAACTTATATGCAGAAAAACATATTTCGTGTGTTTCTTTCCTTTAAATTTTAGTGATTTCCTTTAAATTAACAATGACATTTATAACTTTGTATATAACATACATAATGTTTATAACTTTGTAACATTATGTAACTTTGTGTCGATTATACATAGTGGAATTAAACAACTGAAAATATTCATTTTATAGAAAGACATTTAGTGTCCGAAAAGCTGTAAGGTGTTTTGGAAGCAATAGATGAAAATTTTTGCTGTCTGATTCCAGTCAAAAGGTGTTTATTTTCAAATATTACTGAATTTATAACTTGAAGCATTGTAAATGTATGTTCATCCAGGAGGGTTAGTAATGGATAGAAGGAATGAAATAATATATCTGTCTTGAGATGTTTGATGTTGGGAAGAAATTAATATCTGTACTGATTTATATATGTAGAAGCTTGCCTTTAAAATGCTTGGCATAAAATTCATCTCTATAGTTTAAGATAAAAAATGAAAGAAGAGCAGTTGGGGAAATTTTTTTCTTCTTTTTTTTCCCTCTCTCTTTTTAAAATATTTGTTTTGATATTTAATAATTATTTTATGTTAAAAGTAATATATTAAGAATTGTATTAAGCAAAAATTATGAATTTCTTTTGGAGTGTCTGGATTTTTCTCAAGGTTAGTAAAGTTTTCAATGTGTAATTATACTTTGATTTCTGTTAATTGCTGAGTAAAATTAAATGTGCAACCTTCTAAACAAATTCAAAATTAATTCATCAAACTAAGTCTTATAATATTTTTTGTTATGCTTTCAAATTCAATAGTGATTAAAATAAAACTTGCTCTCTAAAACTTAGACAAATGTTTTGAAGAATTTACCATTAAAATCTTCAAAAATTTAAAAATAGGCATATTAAAATTAAAAACTGAAAAATCATGCTGTTTCTTAGTAAAAATGTGTACAGTTATAAAATTTTAAACACGTGAAAAAATTCTGTTTCTCTTTTTAAGAAAAATACATGATGTAATCGGCTCGTATGAAAAGTCTGTATTGTTGAATAAAATTTAAATTAAAAATGTTTTAATGCAGTGCAATGTTTATCTGCATATCTTTGGATAGCCAAAAAATATTAAAAAAGTTTAGTAGTAGTAGGGTATCTCTGTAGGGTTAGTATGTATAAGGCTATGGTCTTGGGAAGAATTAACTATTAGAACATAAAAATAATATAATGGTGGTGGAAGCATGCACAATAGAAATTTTGCAGTCAGTGCATTATAGGCTGTCAAAGACGTATTTTATTCATGACATGTAAGTAACATTAAAGAATTGTTAAAAAATTCAGGTAGCCTAACTTTTTTAATTATTAATGCAGGATTGAGCAGTGTACTTTTAAAACAGTCAAGATAGATGAGTGATTTTATGCATCGTCGACTAGATAACAAATGTCTATATGTCATGAGTTCAGTTTTACTGCAGTTTTTAGCTAAAAAATATTTAAAAAGTGTAGTAGTAGTAGGGTATCTCTGTAGGGCTAGTATGCATAAGGCTATGGTCTTGGGAAGAATTAACTATTAGAACATAAAAATAATATATATTATTTTAGTCTTTCTGTTATAAAACTTCAATATAATCATTAGATTTTATCTGAATCAGTTGTGCCTCTTAATAAATTTTAGATGGAGTTTTTAATTCATATATACATTAACCGCTTAACGACCGTTCCCGAGATATCTCGAGAATAATCTCATTTGCCATTTTGATTTTCCTATGAACAAGTTAACTCAGGCTGAAAATTTTACAGATATTTAATACCCGTAATATCACGTGACAATCGACACTCTGCTGTGTATTTGTTTTCTTAGCTGTGGGAGGGGTCCAAGTGGCTTTTGTGATTACCAGCTCGAAGTGATTACCCTTGAGCAGTAATGGCACTATTATTGTGCAGACTGTGATGTGCCGCTATGTGTTACACCATGTGTCAGACTGTACCATACTGTCAATGACATTTATAGATTGTAAAATGTAGTTACTTGATTTTTACTTTATCTCTTATTACCCAATATAACCTAGACTACAGTTCTGTATTACTTTTTGGGCTAGATTGTGCTTTTTTTTTTTTTTTTTTTTTTGTTTTTGTTTTTTGGCTGCTTTATTAAATCCCGAGTTAGCTCGGGTAATGTCATGAACTATAATAAATATCTTGTTTTGTTCATGAAAAAAATTTTTTTTGTGCCTTACAAAGCTACATCTAGTGATCTATAATAAAAATGTATAAAAAATTGGCCATTTTCGTCATAATTTTTAATATAAATTCGGTCATCAAGTGTTTAATGAGTTTAAATGTTTAAGCAGTCTCATTCTGTAAAATAAACATAATTGATGTGAATTAAGTTAAACAATATGATGTTTGTCTGCTAGAAAAGACAATAGTGATAAAAGCTAAATGACTGGATCATACCATTTTACTACCTGAGGAGTTTTGTATTGTGATGTGGTATAAATAAGTGATGTTCATTTATTCATTATTAACTAGTACCAGGTATTTATTACTACTTGATTCTGAATTAAATACTTCCAGCTTTATGAAATACCATTTAGCATTACAAGAAGAATCTGAAATTATCGAAAATGGAGTCATTTCAGTTAAAATGGAGTCATTCTAGGGCATATTTTAAAAATTGCTTGAGCACACACGGAATTTTTCCATAATACTTTGTATGCCTAAAACTGAAGCAGGGAAAAACTTGGTTATTTTCTGATATTCTTTATGGGAGAATTTTTTTAAAAGTCCTCTTTAATTACAGTACTGATTTCTTCACAAATTCTGGAGGGAAAAAAAAGAAGTATGCATTTTGTAGGGAACTGCCTGTTATAGCAGAAGAGCAGTGTATTGTAATCGTTTATCCACTAGGCAAATTAAAGGGACATAAAATATTCAAACAATTTCATTGCCACTTCTTGAAACAGGAATATTTTATGCAAGGCTGAGCAAATTGTGGGCTGTTTAAGAAGCCCACATTTTGCATACTTCTCACATGCTCCTCAAAATGTTGAACATTTTCTGAAGAAAGGGTAATATATGGGTGTACGTATGGGAGCTGTTTCCGACAGCATGTTGTGTGCGGTAACACTGGAGTTTTGCTTAGGGGACAAGTATGCCCTTTCTATTTGCAGAAAACTTGCGCATTGATATGTGAAAATAATGCTCATTGCATCGAACTCATTGTCTGATTTATACAGCTATTTTTTTAAACTGAAATGTTCTAATTCAGAAGTCAAACAACAATGTTCTGTTTAGCTATGGCTGAAGCTGTTTTTGTATAAGGTGGAGTGTTCTATGTTATACTGTTCATGTATGTGCTGATATGGATCTATATGTTAACTAGCAACAGGAATTTTTTGTCAGTATTTGGGGTGGCATCATGAGTAAGTTTTTGATTGGGCTTTATCTGCTTTTAAACCAACTTTATGGGGGAGCTTATCCACGTTTTTCTAAAAGTTTTGCTGGAATTACAGGAGGATTTTTGATGGTCATTCAGTCTCTAATGTGTTTAAGTGTAATGGGTAAGTAGTAGGAAGCTCTGAATGCAGTTCTTATTGGCATTATTTAAATAACATTAGTCATACATTTTCCATTTATATATTCTAGAAAACTGATGATAAATCTCCATGGAAAGTTTTATTTTGTGAACTTTGCATGTTTTCTCCACTTAATTAAGTTTATGCAACTTTCCGATTGCAGTGAAAAACATATCTAGTTCTGTCATAAACTTTGACTTGTCAACTAAAATACAAGTAACAGAGTTGCCAACCCGATTTACAGTATATTTCTCCCGACTTTTTCTTATTCTTAATATTTCTCACGATTTTTATGGAACTTGGCTTAATACTTCATTATATGAACAAATAAAAGTGATTTTGGACGTCTGAAAGCAACTGAATTTTCTCTAGATTATATCTAAAATGAAACCTTGCGAATCAGATGAGAACTTCTGCTTTGTGATTGACAGCATCTGTATCCAGAAACGTCGTTCTCCAGTTCTCCAATGGGCATCAAGCTCCACTGCGTGTCATCTGGCATATATTAGCCAATGAGCATAAAGCAAGCTCAAGGCTGTTGGCCGTTCTTTGGATGTTCTTTCGCTATTTCGTTCATCTTGTCCTGAGTTTTGTGAGTACACGTGCCTTTAGGAAATAGTTTTAGAAATTATCGTTTTAGAAATTTGCGATGTGTACCATCTGTCGTTGCGATTTTTCGATTTCGCTTGGTGGAAGGGCAGATGTTTTCAAACATGTGCGTAGACATAAACACAAGGACAACATGAGTTGCTTTGAAAAAACGAAAAATTAAATTTTTCTTCGGAAACAAAAGACCAAAAAGTGATTAATGCAGAATGTCTGTTCTCTGCCTTTTTACTGGAGCACAACCTGCCACTGAATGCATCGGATCACGCTGCAGCTTTATTTAGAAAAATATTTCCCGATAGTGAAATCGCTAAGAAATACTCAAGTGCAAGGACCAAAACAGGTGCAATTGTTAAAGAAATGGGTTTGAAAAATAAATCTTCAGTTATTGATTGCATTAAAACAGCTCCGTTCTGCCTCTCTACGGATGGAAGCAATAATACCAATTCAAAACTGTATCCAATTGTTGTTTCTATTTTTAATCCAGAGTCTTCAGAAATTGAATGCAGTTTACTTTCTGTCCCCACTTTAGAAGGACATTCGAGAGGCTTTAATATAGCACAGCTAATTATTAAAACTTTAAAATAAAATGCAGTCCCTCTGGATAATTGCTTAGCGCTTGGTGCCGATAATGCACCAGTAA